AATCATAGGAAAAATAATTTACCTTCAAAAAAATAAAGAATCACAAAAAAAAAAATAGGGAATGACATTTTTGCCCCCCAGGGAGAAAAGAACCAAGTAAAAAATAACTGCCCTCTCTTTCTTTCTTTTTTTGGGTATGGTATTGCTAAATGGGAGGATCACACTTTGACACTTCACTCTCCAGAGCTCAATGATTCCAGAAATCTTCAAAATACTAGAGGAACAAGAGGGCCTTTCTGATATTAGAATTTTTTTTTTTTTGGGAACCATTTTACAATTTTCAACCCTAGTTTGTGATAATCTACATGCATCTTCGTAATTTTCTTCCAATTTGGCTAACCTAGCTATGATGAACTTATCGGTATTATTTGCATTGTAATTAAGGCTATGTTTGTTTTTAGGAAGGAAAAAGAAATAAGAGAAAACTTTTTTTCTTTTTTGAATGAAAAGAATTGAAAATTTTTACAACAATATACTAGAAGAGAAGAGCTTTCGTGGGTTGGAAATTTCATATGAAAGAAAAGGAATTGAGGAGTACGATGGATAATTAAGGAGTACGTAGTATACTAGTATTAAGACTTAAAAGATTCCCAGGTTGGAAAGATGCTCAATTACTTCGTTTTCTCTCTTTTCTCCTGTTTTAAAAAATCACAAACATATTATTATTCTTTCTCTGTTATTAACCAACATTAAGGTGGGGAACCCGGCTTGGATTCTTATCTTTTTCTCCGTTATTTTGTAATTTATTTTTGTTTTAACCATTCATTAGAATTCACATATAAGTAAAATTTTAGTCATTCTTGAACTACAGTTGTGAATTGAATTATCCAAGTATTTGAAAGCAAATCTTAACTCAGAACAACTGAATAGGACCTCCTAATCTCCATTATTGTCTTATTAATCAGCCCCAACTGCTGGAGTTTATGATACAAATTAGAACGGGTGCAATTAGGAGTGTCACTCTCCAGACTAATGACAAGTCAGGAAATCCTATATATGTTTACTAAAACATATTACTAGAAAACTTTTTCTGTTTCCAGCTCTAAGCTTCAGCTACTGCCAAAAAAAAAAAAAAAAAAAAAAAAGCTCTATGCTTCAGCTCTTTCATTGCTTGTCTAGCACTCTTGTTGGCTTTACAGGGAAGGATGCTTTTTTTTCATCTTTTGGGACTTTATTTTGGTCATACTACATGTTGAATTAATGCGCATGGAAGGACGCACACTAGCATTGTCAGTCTCTGCCTGATTCGCTTGTACGTAGCTTTGTGACCATCATTAATGTCACAGATACTTGGGCAACAAGATAGTATCAAGTTATTGTCAAACCTGAAAAGACTCAAAAAAAAAAAATTAAAGTGAAGCACAAATTTGGACAAGCATAGATATCAGAGGAGTAAAGATTGCTTTGCAGTTGCTATAAGAAGCTAACGCTGAACTAATGTACTACTAGATCAAATGATCAATCCTCCTGTAGCCCTTGAAATTTGACCTGATAGAGCGATATTCCACCAAGAAACGAAGGATTAACTTGATCATCAAACAAAATGCCATCACCAGCAGCAGCAGCAGCAGAAGATGGTCAAGATCCCTTCAAACGCTTACCAGATGATCTGTTGATATCCCACATATTTGACAAAATTTCAGAGGCCAAGTCCCTGTGCTGGTGTTCACTTGTCTCCAAGCATTTATATTCTCTAGTTTACCAAACCCGAAATGTTTTCTTGAAAATACCTCTCCTGGTCCCAGATGATGATGGACTCGATCAATTCAGGGACTTCACCCGTCGTTTTTGTTTAGCTGGAAAAAAAGGCGTCCACATTGTCACCATTCCCTTCGAGTTCTTCGTTCATGGCCACGGATCTCGTCCGCCGTCCTCTCCTACTCCTACAGCCTCTGAAAATCAATTCTTGTCTCATCCGTCAACCAAGTGTCTCTGGAAATTCAACTCCATCAAATCTCTCCAAGTTGAGTTTCATCGTTGCGGTTCACGGAATGAGCAGCAGCCAGTGGTCAAGTGGAAGATTGACAGAAAATCAGCTAAATATATACTAATCCTGGCCCCCCCCAACGAGCCCTGGCCCAGCCGATCCTGCTGCTGCTGCTGAAATTGGGTCCCTTATGAAGGTTCACTTTGGCTGTCATCTGGATATTGCTTGCCTAACGTTTTCACTGATGGAATCCCTTCTTCCTTTTTACCAGAATCCCTTCAGCATGTTATATTCACAGATTCTGAGAAGCGAGGTAGGCTTGATCTTGGAGAAAGTGAACTTGCTCTGATGAGGAGGACTGATATTCCAACGAATACAAGAACAACAAATGCTAAGGATCAAGGAGACGAGGAAAGCATTGGATTCTGGTTTGCACCTTCGCTGAAACTGCCAGTGCTGTCAAGTGGCAGCTCATATATGATCATGATTACTCTTCTCAAGCGCAAAAGAAATGCTGATCAAGTAGGAAATTCTGCTTGTAATTTCCAGAGAGTAAAACAAGCTTTTGAAGGTGAAGAAGAGGTTCTTATCGAAGATGTAATAGAAATGCTCAGGGACGTTGATTTCTGAAAAAAAAAAAGTTTAGCCTTCTGACAATAGTAGTATCTCCTTAGTTATGGTCGAAAAAGTGAAAATCCTTGGTAGGATTTGACTTCTAATCCGTCATGGCTTGTTTAGCTTAAGAAAATGAAATAATAATGTTAACGTTGTTAACATAATTGCCTGTTAACGTTGTTAGAGCATTAAGAAAATGAAATCTCCTTTTTATTTATGCCAACTCATGATTTTCGTCCACCTCACCGAATCCAACAAATTCCCTAAATTTACCGTAGCTATTTGAGGCCAACTCTGAAGTTAGAAAAACTGAGAAAATTGGAAAATACTGCTACTAATAGGAAAAGAATTAGTACTATTACTTTTTATTGGAATTGTATCCAAGTCTTTTACCAAATTATACACATGTGGAATTATATCATATGCGCTCCCCATCAGCCAAGGAAACAAGAACTTGAGAGAATCTCTATCTCATTAAGATAAACATGTGTGAAGTGCTGTGGTACTGTCAGTAAATACGGAGAACATGCCAACAAAGTAAATGGCACGTAATAGCATCAGACAGCAGAATAATTTTCTGGCTATAGTTTGAATCAATGGCAATGCATGTTCATGTAAGAGGTAATTCCTTTACTTCTTTCCTGGTGAGAAGACTAAATTCTGTCTCATTGACAACATTCTGATCAGTAAAGATAAGACTGTTGGCAAAAATAATAATAATAATGCTGCTCCTAGCAACTGGGGCAAACACAACTTTCACGTGGTTAAAAGCTGATGTCTTGACAGAAGAAAGCACTTGTACGTAAACTTTGGCAACGAGGATGTTGATGTTAGGGGTATGTATAAACTTACTCGGAAACATGATTATTTTCAAGCGATTGTTCGGATAAGAGTTTACTTGGATGATTTATTTGAGATATTTACGGTAACACTTTTTATGATGTGATGTATGTGAAATAAAAAAGTGATTGAAAAAATAAAAAATGTGATTGAAATTTGTGAAGTAAATTATTTTGTTTCAAATTATTTCAATCCAAACACACTAATTAATGTAATAAGGGTAGCCCCAAACTCCCTAAATAGGGGTGGGTGGCTGTGGGTATAATCAGCTTCTTCTATCACGCTGTCTCAATTACATGGTGATGGTGGTGGTTTTTTTTTAACTCATGATAATACATATGAACTTGTTTGTTGCTTTGAATCTATTTTCCCTACTCCTAATTTCCTCCGCTTTAGTAACGGATGAATCGCTTTTCCTTAGCCCCAAAATAACAAGAGACAGAACGAAACTGCTAGCAATTAATAATAACATTGATTCACCGGCAGACTACTAATATTAATATTACATGAACGATTCATGAGTCTCAAAATTAAACTAATACATAGTAGCTGACCTTTCGCCCCAAAAAAAAAAAAAAAAGTAACGCGAAAATGCATTAAAAACAGTAATGACAGCAGACTGACTACCCATTGAAAATCAAACCTCAAAAACCAAACGAATTTTAGACTTTTTAAAGATCATCATGACGAGATAGATATTTGTTTGCTAAGCGAGATTTCCTCAGAGACTAGCTCTAATCTCCTTCACCATTTCCAGTACAGTTTCAACAAAAACCTCATCTTTATCTTCAAAAGCGGATTGTACTTTCAAGTAATCCTCGGACTCATTGGCCAAGAAAAGAGTAAAAGATTGCCCGATTGGGCCTGAAAATGGAAACTTAACTCTAGATTTAGCACTCGTCACCCTCTGCAAATACTCGGTATTTCTTGGATTATCACAAATCCGCCTCATCTGATCAGCGAGATCAGTTTTTCCCAGATCTTGCTTGCTCCGGTTCTTGGAATCTGTGATGGTCACCCGGAGAAGGGATTCCGGTAAGAAAGGCAGGAGGGTTTCCATTATCGAGAAAGTGTAAAAACCCATAGCCAGATGACAATGACATTCAACGGTAAGCAACCCAATTTCCCTAGCATAAATGTTGTTAGCATCATCAAGACAACTTCTGGAAGCATAGAGATATATAAAAGTATCTGATTCGAAGTCGAGCTTCCACTTCATCACAGGTTCCTTGATGAAACGGATACTGCCTGTGGCCTCGGAATCTTCCGGCGGATACAAGATTTCCACATGGAGGGATTCCATGCGGGAGAATTTAGCAAGAAATTTGGTGGTGAGATGAGACAGAAACTCGAAATCCAAGTGCTCGAAGTGGAAAGTCAATCGCTGGGACTTCTGGAGGAAGGGAAACATCCCCAGGGGAGCTATGAAACAGTGGACTGGTTTTCCTGGAAAACAAGCAGGAGTGGTTTTCTTATCGAGTTCCTGGCGGGTTTTTTTTTTTTTTTTTTTTTTGCATCCGCTACAAGGGGAGTCATTTTGTCCGGGGGTTACCGACTAGTTTATAATTTTAAATGAAGAAACCAACTATAAGGTGCCATAAACAACCGCTGATTTTTTGCCGAAATTAAAAAATTACTTTTGCAACCGCTCAAGTCTTGGTTTAGCGGTCAAGACAATCGAAACAGACTTATAGCTGTTTGTTTGATAGAACAACAACATCAATGAGACAGCCAGTGAGACATATATAGCAGTTCCAAGTATGGATCCATTCTAGTTTGAAATGATCAACTCCTGCTGTAGATCCAACAATCCCATACTTCAGCTGTTCATTGCAAACAAATTTAGTGAAAAATTAAAGATCCTGTTGTTGCTGATCATTAAACTGTGCATCCACCATCAACCACAAGATTATGCCCTGTGATAAATGTAGAATCATCGGAGGCAAGGAATAAAGCAGCATCAGCAACATGATCAACTTTCAGTATAGCTTCTTTCAAGGAAGTCTGAGGCTGATGAATCTTCTCTAATTCCTCAACATCCATATGAAAATAGTTGCACGCTAATGGTGTAGCAACAACAAATGGTGAAACAGCGTTGACTCTAATCCCATGTGGCCCCAACTGCTTACTAGCACATCTCATCAGCCCCAGAACTGCATGTTTCGACATGTAATAATCTGTCGAAACTTCTCCAGCTGTAGTGGCTGCTATACTCGCCGTGCAAACTATGCTGCCCTTTACTCCCCTTTCCACCATCGCTTTTGCAGCATGTTTTACACATGCCGTCATGCCTCGTACGTTGATAGCAAAGAGTTGATCAAGTTCTGAGAAGTCAAGATCGATCACCAATTGATTTGACTTGCTAAATACTCCAGCATTGCTGAACATGACATCTAGTTGGCCGTAAGTTTGGATGGTTGAATCTATCATTCTCTGGACTTGCTCTTCATCAGCTACATCACAACGGACATAGCTGCAGTTTTTTGAACCAATCGATTCAGCCACGGTTCGGCCCTTTTCGTCTTGGATGTCAGCGATCACAACTTTGGCACCATGGTTGGCAAAAAGTCGAGCAGTTGCCTCGCCGATGCCGCTAGCACCACCTGTTACGACGGCAACTTTGGCTTCCAGCTTTTTGGTGATGCTAGAAGGTTGTTGCGCCATCTCTCTCGAGGAAAAGAAGAAAAAAAAAAGATTTTTTTTTTCAGGAAGCTAGTTCTTCTTTAGGAGAAATTATAGTTGTACAATGCATGTAAAACTTCAAGGATTGCTGCTTTATAATACTACCATATGTCCCACCCTTGCCTAATCGTGCGCCATTGTGCCTATAGAGTATTTTACTCTATAATTGGAAGTCCAAACAAGTTGCCAACTCATGTTGGAAGGCATTATGTACTTGGAATCTCTGATGTTTTCTAGGTAATACTTAATGAGCCCAAGTCAACGATGGAGAGTTGGTGTGTTGAGAATTGGGAATTTTATGCAGGCCTATAATTTACAGAACAAATTGATGATCCCAGAATCCATTTAGCAGTGGTCTAACATGTTGTGTTATCTCACCCACTTAACAGACTATCGTTTGATTCAAGCCTCCAATCCAGAGTCTAATATGTTCTCTGACAGATTCAAGCCTCCAATGCAGAGATTTCAATTGATTAGAGCATTTCTCAAGAGGATCGGCTGGTTTGCAACTTTAATAACCAAACAAAACAGCTCCTTTATTATTATTATTTTTTGGGGTCCGTTCAGGAAAATTTAAGTCAAGAGCAGCTGGCAGAACTGGACGTAAGCTGATTGGGCTAAGTCTGGCCTTGAATTAGCCAACCACTTGGGGCCTGATCAATGTTCATGCCGTAGAGATTAATGTTGCATTCCTAAATAATCACAACCACAATCCTCTGGGAGAAACTCCCATTTGAGAGGCCGAATCTGTCAGTCATGAACTGTAGAGTGATTTGATATCAAAGTTGTCACAGAATGAGATGAAGCGCCAGGCAGTCCAGAAAATACAGGGGACGACGTCTTACTATCCATGTTAACTAGTTAATATACCAAATTCCAAATGTTAAAACCCCCATGATAATACTGAATCCAAGTTCATGACTTCATTCATATTTCATTCAATTAACACACCATGCAAGTATTGTAATTGATGAAGGGAGGGGTGTTCGCTTGAGGACTTGAAGCCTTTGAAATGAAGCTTGCATTTGGGGGAAATAATCAAATCTAGCATGATCCCTCAAAAAAAAAAAATTTTTTTTTTTTTTTTTGGATAAGCAAGATAACTTCATTTAATTCACTGAAAGCTGACACTCCAAGAAATACAGCAAGTAGAAGGGATGGTCTGATTCCTTATTTTGATAACAAGTAGAATGTGTCAGGAAATAGAGTCTTGTTCCTCCCAATTCATCCATCATACGCGGGCTTGTTTTGGACCATATCCGCAACTTGGACAACATATCGAGAGATTGAACAATCTTTACAAATTAACCTCCGCTTAACAGAGTTAGAAGTACTTTTGCTATGGTTTCAATCTGAGTAAAAAAGCAAAAGAAACAACATCCAGGATGAGTCTAAAGACTGAACTATATGATCAGAATACATTGCTGGCCTACTTAAAAGTAAGGCACTTATCTATCAAACTCGTGTATTTGACAAGTTTTCTGGTCAGGGGTTCATGATCCCTCCATCATTGATGAATTCATGGTGCTGTGGAGTGCTCTATTCCGAAGCATCCTCCTGCCTCCAATGTGTGTATTTTACAAGTTTTCTTACCAGCTAACCACTCCCAAGAAACTGTAGCACGAGACAGAAGATTGTAAATCAATAAGATGTTAAATGACTTAAATCAGAAGGAAGAAAAGTATAAATATGAAAAAGAAAAGGAGGAAAACTATATCCTAGTATACACTCTATAGCTCCATAACATCAGCTCAGAGAAATACTTCCTTCATTTACAAGGGGTTTTTTTTTTTTGGGTGAGAGTATTTTTAAGTTTTGCTGGGTCCACGATGTGACACCGTGTCAAGAACAAAACAAGTAATAGCATATGAGTCATTGACGGAGTGGGAGATCAATTGACATTTTTTCACAAGCTCATCCTCTGAATTTTCTGCTAAAATAATCAATGCCACAACTTTTTCTTTCTTTTCTTCACTTTTTTTTGCTGTAGAGATCTAATGAAAAGTATAATGTCAATCAGATAAAAAGATAATTCGATACTGATCTCCTCTACTTTGTCCTTCTGCAATGACGTATATATCTTGTGCTCCTATCTTCATTATTGGCTTCGAAAAAGTACGAACCAACTTTGACGACTAATTATTCAATTAAAACCAGAATAAAAAAGATTTAATTTCTCACGGCTTTCTTGAGGATGATCGACCTGGGGGAGAGGGTGGGAAAGATTATTGATGAAACTACAAGAGAAAATTCACAACAAGAGAGCAAAAAAAAAAAAAAAAAGTTCACTAGATTTGATGAAGCAATAAACTAGTAGATTGAAGGGTATATTGATACCTGAGGGAACGAAAGGCAAGGTGAGAAGAGAGAGCGTGGAAGAAGAAGTTAACTCCATGAAGCAACACCACCACTGCCGTGCAACCCAGCAGAAAAAACTCCATCATCATTCCTTCCCTTCTCCTCCCTGATCTTAATTAGTGGCTTCCTCACTTAATTTGGAAAAGATCAGTTTTCCAAATCCTTGTTGCCAAAAACTCAAAAGGTGAAAGCCAGCCAGCAACTTTTTAGATTCTTGAATCAGCCCAACTTATCTCGTATAGTAATTAATAAAGAAGAGGAAACTGCAATAAGAGGAAGATATATATATATTTATGTGTTAAAAGTATTTTGAAGAGACCAGAGCACAACAATTTAGTCCAGTCGGTGCAATATAGGAGGGTAATAGATTAATAAAATATATATACCAGAAGAATAAAAATTGTCTGGACAATAATTGATGGGTATATGACGTCGACGTTCCTATCTTAGCTATATATCCTGCGTGCATATGAGGGTGATATGAATAAGATTGACACTATTCCTATCGCCTTCATCACAACCCCTTTGGATACAGAAGAAATGCTTTTGGGTATTCTCCGATCATTTTTCTGCTTTTTATTCTCCATTAGTAATAAATGAGAAACTACCGGACCTACCCGTCGCCACCAACCCATTTCTCCTTTCACGGAACTGTGGAGCTAGTTTTGTTGTTCCTCTACAACTGTCCACATATTATTAAAGAATTAATCTTCTAAATTGAAATTTTGTATATATGACATGTATTTAAATTCGATAACGTGTACCTCATCATTATAATAAAAAATAACCCTATTATTAATGCAATATTCTTATTTTTATATTATATAAGAATGGGTTGTGGTTAAAGGAAGTTTGAATTTCAACAGTATGAATAATAGGTTTTTGGGAATGTGGAATGTTGTGTAGCTTTTTTAAAACTTTTGGTACAATTGAGAGCAGCACGTGTTTAGGTATATACTGAAATGAACTCATTTTGGTACATTTAAAACTTTGATTTATGAAGACATCTGTGTATTCTGTCCGCGCGCCAAGTTCCGCCACGCGACGCAGGCCACGGACAGGGCCCGCACGCCACTTCGCGAAGGCCCAGCTCATCTGAGTTCCGCCGCCCGCAGCTCCACCTCCGACCGCTGCTGTTCACGACACCAAACGCTGCACCTCCTCTCTCTTCGCCGCACGCCACCCGCTGCTGTCCCCTTTCATTTGGTTGTCATCCAAGGTGGAGGTAATTGGAACTTGTCCCCCATTCTCTTAATAACTAATTGGTGCTGCCTGGGTTGCTCAATAGTTAATGTTGTTGACGATTGAAGTTTATTTTCTCAATTGGTGAATTCCACCAGTGGTACTGGTCGGACTATTTTCGCTTGGAATTGCTATTTCTTTTGGGTTGGGTGAAATTGTGCAATTAATTGGCCAACTGGAGCCATTTGTTGGGACTTTGGGTGAGCTGAAATATTGCACTTGTTTGTTAAATTGGGAGGCCTCTATACCATTTACATTGCTTATTCCAGTTCAGTGCATCTAGTTGAAATGCTGGGGTTCATTATTAGATTTGACTGAGAATCCTGTGGATACATTGTTTGTTGTGTGAATTGAGCTACATTATTTGGGGGATCTCACTAGTGTGGGTTAGTAGCCGTTGAACTTGTTTCATCCATTGTTTGGGTATTTTGGCTTCGCTGGGTCACTTCTACTCTTTTGGCTGACTGTTGGAGGCTGGGCACTTGGAGTTACTCTGCTACTGTCGAATTTATGAGTTATTATTGATTGCATTGTTATTTCTTGGGGCTGTTGCTACAATTTCAGTTGATTGAGTTGTGCATTCCATTTTCCGCCAGTGGTACTAGTTGGAGTGTTTTCCCCCGAATGTGTTTACTCTAGCTGGTTAGATATTCGATCAAACTGCCAGGATCTTGTGGCTATGTTGCTCTTGATAAACTTTAGGGTTGCTATTGCTAGATTTAGCATATTATTGGGGTATTCGTTAAAATTTTAGAGTGCATTTGTTGAGATTAGGAATGGCCAAGTTTGCTTGTTGACTGACTGAATTAGGTAGTCCCTGTGCTTATTGACGTGACTTTGCTAGTTCCCAGTTATTGATAATAGTTTCTGGTTGTTGATTTTGGAGTGCAACTGTTGCTTTATTGACCATATTTGGGCTTGAGTGGCCCGTGTTTGCTTTTGCATTTGACTATTGAGTTGGGGAACACCAGTGACTATGGATTTGCATTTGTTGGTTGCTATCTTTGTTGGATATTCTGTCTTTTGTTATTTGGGGTGATAATTGGCGTCAATGGTGAGTGGCGCCACTTACAAGTACAGGTTCACAACGGAGATGAGCGAATGACGAATATCACCCGCCAAGTGGCAAGGATGTCTCAGAACTCGGCTTCCCTCCACTGTTCCCTCCTATCCCTTAGCTGTTCAACAGGGAAGTTTCATTGTTCTCTTCGTTTTCATTACTTTATTACCTCCATTGAGGACAATGTAGGATTTAGGTGTGGGGGGAGCAGTTATGGTGCTAGTGTCTTTCATTCAATTTTTTTTTCTTTTTAGTGATTGGCTTGTAAGTGCATGCCAAGGTTTGATGTTGGATTATTACCTCTATTTCTACTATTGCCAATTTTAATAATAAAAGGGTATCAAGTTAATGTGGTTGAATCCAAAAACATCTCTTTGGTGAATATCGATGATTGTTTTACTCTTATAATTTTTGGTTAACTTTCCTAGGCATAGGGAATGATTATTGGCATTTTCATGTGAATTGGTCCGGTTATTAACTTTAGTTCTCCATGTTTGAAAATGAGACTAGCTGATGCAAGTTTTCTTTTGGTTCTTGTGTTATATTGAGTTTTTGTGATTTTTAGCTATGAATAAACTTGACTGTACTCCGCTAGTATTTACTACCGAGTAACCGGGGATTTTCACCAAAAGTGTCGATTCTCGCGTCAAAAAGTAGTAATTGCTATGAGTACGTGGTCACGTGGCGATAGAAGCTGAGTAACCGGGCTCCTTCATCCGGCCAATGTTGAAGTTCGCGTCAAAAGGCTCAAATGGCTAGCGACTAAGTCTTTTGTTACTATTGAAAAAAAAAGAGAAAAAAAAAAGAGAAAAAAAAAAGAGAGAAAAGTAGGGAAAAAAAATATGAAAAAAAAAGTGAAGGTTGTGTTAGTGTGTAATAAAAGTCAGCTTGCCGAATTATGGATTTAATGTTGAGATTTTGGTTAATAGTTGGACCATTTGCTGATAAATGTTATGCATCATTCCTTTTTCTTAGATTAGTTAACTTAAAATTAGAGGAGTTTGTGGTTTAGAAGCTAACCGGAATGATGTTTCTTGGACTTGACCATTGATGCTTGATTCTTATTTTTCTTGGTACCTTGGCAATTTGTTGGATAGAGCAATGACCATTATCACATTTTGGTATCTGTTTACTATTCTCATGCTTGAGGACAAGCATGGTTTAGGTGTGGGGGAAATTGATAGGTTGCGATTTTATCATTTATTTTATTATTAATTTCTCCTATTACCTGACCCAATTTGGAATAATTGTTAGTTTCTACTCATTTTTAGTATTTTACATATATTTCAGGGAGTAGAACGAAAATACCATAATAAGTGCCGATTTGACAGTTATCAGGAAAGAGTTCAAGTAGCAGGCATCCAGGGCATTTTTGGAACAAGGAGATACAAGTCCTTTTTGGTAATTCGCAGAGCGCAGCATTAAAAGGAGGAACGAAGGGCTGAAGTGGGGGTCTTCTTCTTCCTCTCCGGAAGGGGAGCCGCCGCACATTGGAGAGCTTTTCGTCTTGTAGCTTAGCCGTAGTTGTTGACTTTTCTTCTTAGTTTTTGTTAGCTAGTTTCTTTCTTACGTATGAAGATTGCTGAGAAGCTTAGCTTTTGTTTTTGATTCTGCCTATTCAATTTCTCTTCTCCGAATGTCGGACAAAAGCAAACACACTCAGTGGACTCTCGTAGCTTCCTTTCTTTATTGAATGCCCAGCTTCCCAATTGATGGCCGCAGCCTTTGCTTCAATTTCTTGTGGGTTTAGTTCATTAATTATGAACTAATTCTACAATTCTAGTCAAGGGACAACTGACGATTTGGTTCGACAACTACTGTGAGATCGAATCTGTTTTAATTATTTTCTTCATTTATTGGTATTTATATGTTCCTTGATTTTAATTGCTATGGCCTTGTGTATGATTGATTAGTGCGCAATAATTAATTATTCATATAGGCTATTTTTGCTAAATAGGGGTAATTGAATCCGTAATTGTTCGTTATCTCTACCTCAGTAGCAACTGGCGTAATTGGGTTTATGTCAGGGGAGCATATGATCTAATTTAAACAAACCCTCGTAGCGTGTTTGTTGGTTAGGATTGGGCCTTTCTAATTATTAATGCAATCTAGAAATTAAATCCTACGGTCGTACTTAGGGTTGTTTTTGGGTTAGAGAAATAGCTAACGGTCGTACCTTAGCTATCGATAAATTAAGGAAGGGTTGGTTGTTTATCGCGTGCATGACAACTATAACCAATCTATTAATAAATGTTGGGATTATTTTTGCATCAATGATCAGTGCATGAACCATTTCTGAAGTATACCCTTGGCTAGAGTTTCTCTTAGTTATTTCTTTTAATTAATTATTTTCTGCAGTTAATTTATTTAGTTAGCATTTATTCCAAAACCCCCCATACTTTGGACTCTAAAAGAAACAATTACTCCCAGTCCCTGTGGATTCGACCCTGCTCACCGCTATCTACAGAATTAACTTTAGTTTGAGCAGGTTTTATTATTGTACAGGCTTCAACAACCTGTCAATTTCTGGCGCCGTTGCCGGGGACTGGTGTCAGATTAATTTGTTTCTTTTTGAGTTCACATTGTTTTCATTTTTAATTTATTTTTCTCTTATTTTTTTTTTATATAGTTTATGGCTGCTAACATTCCATATTTTGATGATAGACTGGACTTTGTTCCTGAATGGGGTTATGAGACTCATGTTTTTCCTAATGATCAATGGGCTGTTGCAAATTGTGGAGCTTATTTTGACTCAGGTTATTCAACTGACACATGCCCCGCATTTCAAGACAATCTAAGTGCTCCAATTGATACTTTTGGAGATTTTTCACCCCAATATCAAATGCAGTATGACCCTTATTCAAACGGGTATGATCAAGGATGGTGGGATAATTCCAGTTTTGATTATGCGACTGGGCCAATGGATTTTCAACAGCAAGAGTCTCAACAACCATCGTCCCTGTCAGGGTACCAGCAGCAATACCAACCCCGACCACCTCCGCCCCCAAGCTCTGGTCCATCTTTGGAGGAGATGATAAAACAAGTGATGACAAACATGGCGCAAAATCAGCAAAGGACGGAGGCAATTCTTATGCAAAATCAACAAAGGACGGACTCCGAAATGCAGGATATAAGGAATCAGATAAGTCAAATGGCTACAACAATCAATCGTTTGGATTCCCAGAACC